GCATTTTGTGGAAGAGCCGGTATTTTGTGGAAGAGCCACACTCAAGGGGCCAAAGAGCCACATGTGGCTCGCGAGCCGTGGTTTGCCAAGCCGTAGTTTGCTGACCACTGGTAGAGAAACCAATTTCCATCTGCATCATGTAAAGGAGGGGCAACTGGACACAACAGCACTGTGCTCATAACATTTTTCAGGAAGATGCCTATTTCACAAATTAAACACCTACTGGCTGTCATCGATTATGCGACGCCTTCTCTCCCTTCACAGCTCTTCCAAAAGCTGAGTCAATGCTGCCGCCCAAATCACAGAAAGAGAAAAGTAAACCACCCTTTTTTCCTGGCCACACGTGCCTACATTTTCATTTCAATAACTTCCCTTCAATGTTCTATACTCATCAGCCCTACTAATAATATAATCATATGACCAGACCCAACTTCATCAGTATAAATTCAAAAACTAGAATTCAGGATTGAAAGAAAAAAAAAAAACTAGTTCAAAATACTTAGGGCAGCTAAGTTCATAATCTTGCAGGTTGGTATCAGATAGTAACTCAACACCTGCTGCTACTTAGCTGACCACTAACATTAAGCCCTCTCAGGTGTCTACTGTCCTTTCGAACATGAAAACAGCTTCTAAGGCCATTGTTTCAGGGGACAGAGCCGGTTGTGCAACTAAGAAACTTCACCTACGTTCTTAACTGGGTGAATATAATTTTTTAATAACACTCTCCTGTTTCAATAGCACCTGCCAGATATACACCTTTACTTAAAATCTCATATTAGCGCTCAGCTACATCCGATGCTACAGAAAGAAAGCCATCACCCCACCCTGACCCGGTTGATGTAGCAGTCTGCATTTACTGCACGGATCTTGTGCCTGTGACCGTGTTATGCGTTTACCAGCATTATTTTGTTTAATTCTTATAATCACCCCATGAAGTTGGCACTATTATCATCTTCCCATTTTACTTTAAATAAGGCATCTGAGGCACAGAGTATAGGCAGCAGACCAGGACCCTCTTCCACCCATCAACTATGCATTTTCTCAACATGAACATAGACATGCATATAATCTATGGTATTCTGAATGATGCCACGGAAACCATGTTGTCCATATGGATGGGTGAATTCATAGGATAAGGAGATCTTGCCCATAGTTAAAAGTTCACTTTAGAGGTAGGAAGCCTCCCCTCCCACAACAAACCTTCCCTAATTAGGTAAATTAGTGAAAACAGAATATTCTTTAGTTAGGATGCAAAATCTTCATGAATTTCTGGAACTTTTAAATGATAGAAGAAAGGGGAAGGGGAATAGGGGAAGACATCTTCTGGGCTTCTTTGTTTCAAAAGTAGGGATGAGATACTCAGCTGTGGCCTTGTAAAATAATGGAACAGGAGGATGGAGGAAGAAGGAAGAACCCCTGTCAGAGCATCCTGCAGTCCTGTGAAGGAGAAGGTGTGTGTTTAAGATGCAGAAAGCCAGGGGCAGGGATCCTAGGATGGTCCTGCTGGGGTGGGAAGCCAAAGACTAGGACCCTGCCTTAAGCAGAGATGTCACAGAGAGTGACAACAAAGCAACGATGGCAAATGGAAGACATTCCCCAAAAAGTGGAATTGGATGTGCTGGGAAAGCTGGTGCTGGGGATTCCAGCTAGAACAGGCTAGTGGGAGTCCTCCCCTCTGCATGCTGTGCTCCTTCTAGTAGGTCAGGGGTCCTCAAACTTTTTAAACAGGGGGCCAGTTCACTGTCCCTCAGACTGTTGGAGGGCCGGACTATAGTTTAAAAAAAAACTATGAACATATTCCTATGCACACTGCACATATCTTATTTTGAAGTAAAAAAAACAAAATGGGAACAAATACAATATTTGTATTTGCATGTGGCCCGCAGGCCGTAGTTTGAGGACCCCTGTAGTAGGTCTACTTCCAAAGTATCAGCCACCTCCCTCTTCTACCTAAATCCAGCCCTGCTGTGAGCTGATCAAGCCCTTTCCACTCTGGTCCACTGATTTGAGGCCCTATTTACTAGAGCCCACATGTGAGGTTCCCAGGGATACTCCCGATGGCTGAAGACAGCTATGTCACCATTTCTGTCCACAACATTATTTTCCGTATTCCTGCTTCCTCTGGAGCTCCGGTGTCCTGACAGACATGGAGGCGAAAAGAGCTCACTCAGCAAATACCACATTGACTGATCAGAAGGAAGGTCCCAAAGAGAACAGTGGGACCCAAACTCAAGTCTCAGGGACGCTACTACAGGGAGCACAGTACCAAGTACCAATCGAGAAAAGTACAGTGTATAGCGACTGCTGTAAACTGGGGTTTATTTAAATCACTAGAAACAGCAATTTCTTGTTATCTCACTATAAGTACTCATTACCAAATATTAGTGATAACTCATTTCCTCAAATTTTACTTGGGAGCTATTCCAGTTTTACTCAAAAAACATTGTATAATTCCCCCTTCCTGCCTCAAAACAATGAAATGTTAACAGTAAATGGTTTATAGTAAAGTTTAACAATCTCCTCTTACTATCTTCTTCTGAGAAATGTACCCCTTAAAGTTATGCAAAACACATTTTAGAGCAGGAACTCCTTCCAAACTAGGAATGATTTTTCTCCCCAAGGGGACACTTGTCAAAAACTGGGAACATTTTTGGTTGGCACAATTGGGGGAGGGGTGCTACTGACATCTGGTGGGGGAAGGCGAGGGAGGCCTCCTGTACAACACAATGTGTAGGTCAGAACCCACACAAAAAAGAAAGAAATGATAAATGCTTCATAATATAAAACAGCCTACTAATCTTTTATAGATCTATCCTTTTTAATAGACACGAATAAAGAAAGCACACACTGGATCTTAAAACTACAGAATTACTTATACCATAGGGAGAGGAGAAACAGTTCCAAGTAGACATTTAGTGTCAATTATGCCCGATGCTATGCTCAGGGTGTTTAGTTCAAGAAACTCTAATGGCAAATAAGCTCTGTAGTTCAGCATAAGGGGCAGGAAAAATCAGATGTGACTCCAACAAAAACCACTCCTAACTAAAATAGAACACTATTTTATCTTCTGGCACTCCACCAATTGACAAGTTCATGGTGAAATATCTTACTGATAAACATCAACTCCAATCTTTTTTAAAACAGTTTTTTAAAATTCTCTGCAAAACAAGTCCCTTGATGCAAATTGTAATCCAGCTAAGCCCAGGGCTCCATCTCAGTTATCCCCTCAAACTATGTAAAGAATCCCCATCATTAAACATTCTCTTTTATTGTCTGGGGGGATGAAGGAAGTTAAATGTTAAGATTTATGACTCAGACTCCCCCACGGTGATAAAACACCTCCAACGGTAGCAAAGAAAAGCCCCTAAGAATTTATTGCAAAAATGATCATCTAATACAAAGAATCTTAACAAAAGGATGTTTTCCTTTACGTTAAGCGAAGTTGTTTTACAATGTCCAAAGTTGCTTTAGGATCAATTCCCACTGGCAGCGTTTTTACTGCTCTGTCCCTCTTCCTTCCTTCCTCAAAGCCAGCCACACACCCACACGCAGTCCCAGGAGTCCAGCTCTGTACCTTGTGGCAAAGTCCTCATCAGGCGCGTTCACAATCACCGGGTGGGTGTGGGTGCGGTCCACACACTCCGACCTCAGAGTCCCCTCTGGAGGAAACCCCACAGCTCACGGGCGGGGGCATCGAACCTGCTCCTTTTAGGAATCCTCTCGGGGAATACCAGAAGTGACGACCCCGTTCCATATGAAGATCCCGTTTATGCAAACTCAGGGGAAAAGGGGGATCTTTCAACATCCTCCCGCGTAGCTGCGCCCTCTGCCAAGGAAGCCGATCCAGCCGCGACTTTGTTTCCCACTAAGTGCTGGGTGGTGCCGCGGTCCTACACGCCCGCGCATGGGCTCCCAAGGCAACGCCTGCCCCGCCACGGCTCCCCCCGCCACAGCGCGGGCCTAGGCGCCTCTGGTCGCACCCAAGTGGGCGCTCCCAGGAGTACATACACCGGCACGCAAACTCAGAGGGCGCAGAAGCGGCGGCTGACCCTGTGTGTGCAGAGACAGGTGTGCACACAGAGACGTGCAGGCGCGGAGACCTCTCCCAAGTGTGCAGAACTGGGTGGGCAGGCTCAGGAGCACGCGCACAGCCTCGTACCGCAACCCGGCCGCGCTGCGAACCACAGGTCCCAGCAGGGAACCTCCAAACCCCGGTCCGCGGCGCGTTTCACCAACTCACCTCCTCCAAAAATTTGGTCACATCATACACCTTGTGGTGCAGGATCAGCCAGGTGCTCTTGCTGTGGTTGTGCTTCTGGATCTCCTCCAGGGTGTAGTACTTGACGGCCTTGTCCGACGGCTCGGCCATTTCGGAACACCGCGAGCTTCAGGGCCTGCAGACAGCAGCCACGCCGGGCGGAGCAAAGCGCGTCTCTCCGAGACGGTGCCGGGACATTCCCCCCCCGGTCCCGGCGGGCGCCTGGGGCGGGCTAGCGGCACCTCGGAGAGGGCGGCTTGCTGACGGCCTCCGATGATTGGCCAGAATCCGTGTCTCTCAAGGGACCACCCTCGACTGACACCCTCCACCCAGCGCGCCCCGCCCAAAGCGGGTGTTGATTGGCTGAAGATGCCCTATTGCGCGAAGGGTGGGGCGATGCGGAGCTTTCCTTGCGCCTGCGCAGAAGGAGGAGAGGGAAGCTGGGGGGCCCCGGGGGGGTGACTCGGGTGACAGGGAGGTACACGTGCGTGGGAAGGACGGACCCGGCGGGGTGGTCCACAGGGGCCAGCGACCGCTCGTCAAAATCGCCGCTATTTCCCAATCACGTCAGATCAGCCAGACCGGCGCGTTAATTTCTAACATTCTCAACGGCGAGTCTCGGGTAACTTGTTAGCGTTCCGTGAGAGAGAAACGAGCCTGGTGGACGTTAAAACACACCGCGCGGTCACTTAGTCTGGGTGGGACAAGGGTACTGCCCAGAACAAACTCACTCTAATTTCGCTTGACCAACCCCTTCCCTCACCCCGTCCTCAAAAGGCCCAGTTCTTACAGGAAAAACAAACCCAGGGGAACTGTTCATAAAAAGCTAGGACATTCTGGCCCTGCCAGGTGGCTCAGTGGTTGAGCCTCGACCTATGGAGTCACGGTTCCATTCCTGGTCAGGGCACATGCCCGGGGTTGGGCTCTATCCCCAGTAGGGGGCGTGCAGGAGGCAGCCGATCAATGTTTCTCCTTTACTCTCTCTGAAATCGATTAAATATATTTTAAAACGTTCTGATTATTTTTGTATCTTCTAAGACAAGTACTTGTCCGTTGTTGACCACTGGCTAGGCGAGTTCTGGTATTGGCTCTTTGTCTTGTCTCAATAGTACAGTGGGGCCTTGACTTACAAGTGTCCCGACTAACGAGTTTTTTGAGATACCAGCTGTCTCTCGGTCGATTTTTTGCATTAAATTGATTGAGTAATTTGAGTTAACGAGCTCCTTAACGAGCTCAGTGTTGGAACGCATTAAACTCGTAAGTCAAGGCCCACTGTATATGGCTAAGGTGAGTCCTAAATGATGGATAGCACCTGGAATAAAGTCTGGAAGAATACCTCCCAGCAGCCTTATGGGAGGTACATATGAAGATTTACAAAAGATTGAGAAAAACAAAGTGGAAAAATGCCATCATATTAAAAAGTCATCTGATATTTATTAAGGCCCTTTTCAGAAATGGTAGTTAATTCCAAAAGAACTTACACAACAGGGTGCACGTGTAGGTCATCCTCCCTGGGGCTGAGCACAGTTCTTCCATTTTTAGGTCCTGGATGAATATCAGTCCCCACTTTCCCCCGCCCCTTATGTCCTCTATAGACATGCAGGCCATCAAGAAGAAAACATTTTTCCAAGCGTCTCAAGCATTTTTTAGCCTTTTTATATAATAGAACACATTGCTTTTCAAATACTGAACCCACCCTGCATCTCAGAAATAAACCCCACTTGTCTATGTTATATAATAATTTTATTTGTTAACTAGAGGCCCGGGTGCACAAAATTTGTGCACTCAGGGGGGCAGGGGATGTCCCTCAGCCCGGCCTGCGCCCTCTTGCAGTCCAGGAGTCCTCTGGGGATGTCCAACTGACAGCTTGGCCTAAGCCAGCAGTTGGACATCCTTAGCGCTGCCACAGAAGTGGGAGAGGCTCTCACCACCACTGCTGCACTTGCCAGCCATGAGCCTGGCTTCTGGCTGAGCAGTGCTCCCGCTGTGGGAGTGCACTGACCACCAGGGGGCAGCTCCTGCATTGAGCTTCTGCTCCCCTGGTGGTCAGTGCACATCATATCCATCCGTCATTCCACTGTTTGGTCGATTTGCATATTGGCCTTTTGTTATACAGGATGAATTCTATGTTGAGTTTTTGCATCTATATTTATGAGATAGTGTGTAGATTTCTATTTATGCATTACATTTGTCTGGTTTGGATATAAGAGTAATACTGCTCCATAGACTGAGTTGAGAAGTATTCCCTTTTCTATTTTTCTGGAAGAGATTATGTACAATTGTTGTTATTCTTTAAAAGTTTGGTAAAATTATCCAGTGAAACCATATGGGCCAGCAGATTTCTTTTTTAGGAGGTCTTAAACTATGAGTTTAATATCCATTAACAGTTATGGAGCTATTCAAATTTTCTGTTTCATTCTGGGTGAGTTGTGGTAGTTTGTGCTTTTTGAGGAACTGGTCCATTTCATCTAAATTGATAAATCTATTTGTATATAGTTGTTCATGGTAGTCCCTTACTATCCTTCGATGTCTGCAGGGTCTGTGGTGATATCCTGGTATTAGTAATTTGTGACTTATCCCATTTTTTGTTGTCAACCTTGCTAGAGATTTGTTAATTTTACTGATCTTTCCAAAGAGCCAGCTTTCCTGCTCTTTGATTTTTTTCTATTGTTTTTCTTTTTTTTCAATGTCATTGATTTCTGTCTTTATCTTTCTGCTTGCCTTGGGTTTATTTATTTGCTTTTTTCTAGTTTCTTGAGGTGGAAGTTTATTGATTTGAAACTTTTCTTTTTCCTAATGTTTGCATTTATTGTTAAAATTTCCTATATGTTTTAAAAATAGTAAACAAAAATTATACTATTTCCCTAACAGTTGTCAGGACTACTAAATCTCCCCAAGACAAAGCAATGCATCTCTTGAGTGAATGGCTATCTCTAAATTCAATGTCAAGGTTGTTTCAGATTTCAGTCCCATTTTCAAATAACTCTAGAAGTGATGAAAAAGAAAAGGTTGGTGCCAGCGACCTGGATCCTATCAGGTGTGACTTATCAGATGCATAACTATGAGCCAGATGGTTAACTGTTCTAAATCACTGCTTATAACATGCATAGCACAGGGGCTGGCACAGAAAGCAATCAACAGATTTAATTAGTGTTGTTATTATTATTATTATTATTCAACAAAATTTCCTTATTCTAAAACGCAGGTATGAGGAAACATCCTATCTGGCAGGTGCTCCAAGGTGAAGTAAACTTAGGCAAATTTAGAAACAAACAAACCTGGTAAAGGAAGACAAATACTTCCTTTTCCCCTCCAGCAAATGAATTTGTATAAACATTTAGAAAACCAGTTCTACTCCTAAAATTCCTCGGGTAAAAATATACTGTAGAAAGCACTCAGCCTTCTCTTTCATTGTAAGACAAAAATAAGCAAACATTATTTTAAAATTTATTTTCCAATTCCTTCTGCAACTTGTGCACAAGACTTACATGAGCATCCCTTTCCTGCCCATTTTGGTAAATAGTTATATTTACTATTGTATAGTTACAACCATAGAAAGCTGGTTCTCTCAACAAATGGGTACTTCTATAAAGATGGACTCTAATTCAAATGTCTACATGGACAATTTGCATTATATCCATGTAGTTTAAAACTCATGATACCATAGGTTATTCTATCCTCCCCAAAATATCTATAGGGTGTCCCAAAAATGTATGCACACACTTTGAATTATAAAGGCAATGTTTATTAATATACATTTCATTTTTTAAATTGAGCTATCAGCTGTTAAAGTGTGTATACATTTATGGGGACACCCTATATATCTCTAGTATATATAGCTTGATTGATTTCTAAACAATTACCCTTCTATTAGCAATAATTTCCAAAATTTTCTCAATTATTAAAATTTTATTCATTTTAAAATTAATCATGTATGAGTTGAAGTTGCTTTTACTCACATATATTTATAACAGACCAGAATGTCAGTTGAGAATCTCTGATCAATCAGAGGCAGAAATGAGGAGCAAAGAGCAATGGATATTATCTGATCACAAACCTGATACAAATGTCTTAAATTCATTGCTGAAGTAAGGTGATTTCCCTCAGTTAACATCAGACAGTAAGTCAATTATGTGTAGGACATCTTATTGTAAATACTTCCTTAAGCACATGTTCCTGCTATATCCATCTTTAAGTAGGAGCAGGTAATTAGGGAGAGTAAATGTTTGATTGTAGGGCATTGTTGCAATACTAAATTTATTTTTTTTAAACTCTTGTCTCCAGCACAAGTAAATAGAACAAGAGTGAAATGGTGTAGATAAGAAAAATTCCAGATATCCTCTTTAACTTTGTAAAGGGTTCAAGAACAGTTCTATGAAATACAGTTGATTGTGTCACCCAAGTCAGAAGCTTGGGAACCATCCATCAGCAAGTCCTATAGGTTTTTCCTCCTAAATACCTCTCTAATCAGTGCTCTCCTGTTTATCCCCACTACCACTGCTCCGGACCTGCTTTTCATGATTACCTGCCTACCTGCTTACAATAGCTTCCAACAGGTTCTTCATGGGGCAGAGGTGTAATGGCCACCTGAACAAGAAGGTATCTTCAGACCAAAAACCGAAGCAGGCAATGCCATAAAATACAACAAGATTCAACCCTTATTGAAGATAACATTGGCAAATATGTTCTCCCATGCAGTGGGCTTTCTTGTTGTTTTGTTGATGGTTTCTTTTGCTGTGCAGAAGCTTTTTATTTTGATGTAGTCCCATTTGTTTATT